CCCCCCCGCCATTCCACCTCGTCAGCCCACCTGTAAGCTCCACCCCTCTCGTTACCCGTCACTGTCATCATCACCACCTGACAGCCCCCCCTCCCTGCCTCCACGAGAGCCCCTCAGCTCCCCTCTACACCTCCTGCCCCCCCCTCAGGGTCGTCCCCGCTGTGACCTCCTGCCTCAGGCTTTCTTCCCCCCCAACATCTCTGGCCCAACTTCCATTTGCTCCACCCCCACCACATTGTCCTCCTCACCCCCTCTCCCTGCTCCTGTCACCCCCACCTCCAGGAAATTACCCCTGCCTTCTCCACCCCTCCCCCCACTCCCTCCCCTCACCTTGGATGGCCCCCCTGTGCCTCCACGTCACAGTGTTCCCAAACTCCCCCCAAAGACATACAAGAGGGATTCTGTTGGACACGCCCCCATGCTGGACACGCCCTCTGTGCGATTGGACAGCCTGGAGTTCCAGAGGGTTCAGGGACAGCTGATTGGACAGGCTGTGGAGGAGACTGAGTTAACACTACAGCTGATTGGATCAGAAGAAAGTAAAAATGTGTGATGGACCAATCAGGAAGTTCTGACTGCTTCGAACTGAGACTGACTGTAAAACAAAAATGTGCTCTTATTCTGAACATCTCTGAGCTCAGACCTCAGAGGGACGAGACCCTCAGGTACTGGCCTGGAGCCACACCGGTACTGCAGTGGTTCAGGTGGACCTGATGAAGAAGATGGTGGTGATGTCATTATTAATGATGTAAACAAAAACAAGGGAATAAACATTTCTTTCACTGAGCTCGAAAAAACCTGGAATTCATCGGTCTTTATTTTACCTGCTGAACTGAACTGTGGCTGGTTTTTGTAGGTGGGCTCCTCCACATCTACTGCCCCTGCAGCAGCGGGTGGTCTTTAAGTCTGACATCATTATTCGTGGCTGGGTTCAAACTCTGCTTCAGGTCCAAACGATCACTGCGGCATCACTGAGAGTTAAAAACTGTCTAAATTATTTCATCTTTAATAAAATGATCAGCGTTGCTGCTTTACCAGGTGTAACAATTAAGTTTAACATCCAGGCATCCATGAAAACAGGATTTATTAAATTTAATGGAGTTAGAAGTTAGCAGGAAGTTAGCTTGCCAGTTTCCATCTAAACATGATATAGCATGTTCTGACTGAGAGATTTATGAACAAATTTAAACGTACGGCTCTGCTATCACTTCCAACATAAATGAAGACAGAAAACTAAACAGCAGTGACGTTTGTAGGGTTACTGAAGTTGGGCTAGCTGGTATATAATGATGTGTTACGTGATCGCTAGCAACACAGCTATGTTAGCATAAACACAGTGAAGCTGGAGGATGAACGCTAACACTTTTCCGCTTGATAAAAATTAACGTGAGGGTTCCTGATGGTTAGAGACAAAATCAGTCGCATGGCAGGATGCTGTAAACGGACCAAACTTCAGTCAGGAGAACAACTGAGATAATCCATCCACAATACGAGGTTAGTCATTATACTGCTGCATGGGCTGGGCTGTAGATGGGGTTTAAAAACTGAGCTTTAAAATGAACAATGGTAATAAAAACCGAGAGAGGACAATAGTGATCACTGACTGTTTTTAGGGGTTTGTTCAGATTAAACTGAACTATATACAAAGCACTAAAACATTTGAAAAACACAGACTTAATAAATGCAGAGTAGTTTGGGCCGGGAGCAGGATTCATCATGTCATCACTTAAAGAGCAGATAAGGTGGCGCTGGGCTGGTTTCAATTAACTTTATTGACATTGAACACACACAAAGCCCCAGGATACAAGTGTTTCTCTGCTCTGCATTCAACAAACAAAACCAAGCAGAGCATATTGAAATAAATGCGTGGAGGGATGGGTGTCTTGTTACCATATACAATAATTACCTTACAGTTTATTTTCAGTGATTAGATGATTCGGTAGACGTTTCATCCCCATGTTTACTGAAACTGACAAAGATCAAAGCTCGTGGTTTAAGTTTGACTCCAGTCTGAATTTGTTTTACAAAGTATGAAACGACACGAAACTTTTACAAAAACGCTCCGGGAATCAGTCTGCAGCAAGTCATTCCCACAGGCGCAGGTGTCACCATGGCAACGGGCAAATAAAGAGCAGAACTCAGTTCTCCTCAGAGGACAGACCGGAGACACCTAAGACTGACGCAGGTGATTCAGGTGATGTTCAATCACATCAGTGACATCCAGGTGTCAATGATTACAGCAGATCAATAATTATCGATTACTGAAGTCTGACAACAAACTGAAATCCGCCCGTGCACACCCTGACCCCGGGTGAGCCAGCACTTTGGTTTCCTGGTTCATTGTGGTTGCTGCAGGTCTCTTCTCACCTGAAATGAAATTGTGCCTGTCACAATAAAACCAGTTTATCTTTTAAAATTATGCATATATTTAAAACTCCTCCCACTCTGACGTAACTAATCATGGCAATCGGTGACTCGTCAGTCTGTAGGACAGGTGAGTTTTACAGGAAGTGAGTCACTTAGAAACTCCTTTTATTTAGATTACATCTGCAAATGACAAAAGGGCGGAGCTCAAACAACACACTAACCTGGTGATTGGCCCAGCTCAGAGTGGCAACCCCTGATTGGTACAGTCCTGGATCCCGATAAGTCTCTGGATCCGGTCCAGGATGATCTGGTTGGAGCTCCTGCAGTCGTGGGCGCTATAGGGCGCAGCGATCGTCAGGACGCCCGCAACTTTTAGCTCCTCCCCCTCCTCCTCCACGGGGATCCGGTTCTCCTGCAGCCACCGCCGCACGGCATCCCTCCGCTGACGCAGCTCCTTGGGGTCCAGGCAAGGGGACGGCGGGGGGAGGAAGACCGACCGCAGACGCTTCGCCGTCTCATCATCAGCAGCCGCTCGCAGGACCTCCACCGCCTCCACGGCGTGACCCATCACCACCCGCACCGCCACCGCCTCACCAAAGGACACCAGGACCACACTGCAGGGCACAGGGAGACAAGGGTCAGAGCCACGTGACGATCAGGAGTCACACTTAAACTTAACTTAAACGAGTTAAGGTCAAAGTTCACAGGAAACGGCTGAAAAAAATCTCGACTCGTTCGTCACGATCAGCTGTTTGATTTACAAATTAGGCTCCACGTGCGCCGTTACCTGGCGGACACCGGGTCCACGCTCAACAGCCAGCCGCGGTGCTCCTCGCCTTTTCCCGCTCTCACCTTCACCTCTTTGTTAAGGTAGTGAAGCCACCTGAGCGGACCCATGAGGGGCCAGCCGCACTGCATCATGGACCTCACGGTGCTGAGATCGATAGCTGAGCAATAATCGATTCACACACCCCTCCACCCCCCTGCCGTCTGCTGTTCACAGCTGTTAACGCTCCTGAGGAAACACAACACGGAAACAAAAGTTCCGCTTTAAGGCGTAATCTGAGCCGCGGCTGCCCCCTGCAGGCCGAAGCGGGCACAGCAAAAACATTCAGTAGAAGCGACTAGAAATAGAATAGAGACCCTTCGGCCAAAGCATAAAATATTAAAGAGAAACCAAATAAGAAGAAAAGTAATACTGCGAGCTCACAATAAAACAGCAAAAATAAAATAAATACGTTAACTGATGAAAATCCAAAACTCCTGAAATAAGTCCACAAATTTAATTTCAAATAAAATGTGACTCTTTAAAAACTCAATAAATAATGAAGAAGAAGAGTGAGAAAGGCAGCACGTTTCTGTTGGTGACAGCAGATTTGCAGCGGTTCACACTTAAACTGCAACATCAGCGAACAATGGATTACACTTTTGGTTGATATTGATCAGTCACACTTTATAAATGGCTTTAATTATAAAATGTATATTTATTTTTAACCACAGACGATAAGGCAGATGTTATCTTCATGTCCTTCAGCTAAACTTTTATATGGAGGTGATTCCAACACAGTGATGAATGAAAGCATGGATAGATGCCCCCATGAACAAACATCATCCAAGCTCGAACATATCCGTGACAGGAGATCTTTATATGTGGAGCAATGAGGACAGAAACAACAGTCCTGACAGACCATAAAGCAGTCCAGTTTAGACTGATTTGAAATTATTTGGACAAATTCAGAATAAAGACTGTTGGAAACTAAATTAATCCAAAGTTAAGCCCTGAGACTTATTATCAAATCAAATCACTTTTATTGTCACATCACATGTGCAGGTACATTGGTACAGCACATGTGAGTGAAATTCTTGTGTGTGAGCTTCACAAGCAACAGAGTTGTGCAAAATACAATAATGTAA